ATGGACTGAAAGTCTGATATATGGACTGAATGACTGATATATGGACTGACTGACTGATATATGGACTGAATGACTGATATATGGACTGAATGACTGATATATGGACTTACTGACTGATATATGGACTGACAGACTGATATATGGACTGACTGACTGATATATGGACTGACTGATTGATACGGAATGACTGACCAATATAGACCTGCAATGATATGAACTAATTTAAAACGATATGTACCGACAAATCGCCTATATCGACTGACCGACAGACTGACTGCATGACTGACTRMATGGATAWCGAGCAATTMAGTAGATGATTTGTACTTTGGAATCATGTTTTCACGTGGGAATAATTAAATGAACAGATTTTAATTAAGGCCTACGGAGGGATACAAAGTAGTGTATAATTGCTTAAAGTRATCCAGCAAGAAGCACTTCACATGTACGAAGCCGCTCAAATGTACGACGACTTTGCGTCCCAGGGTATATTAGGCCTATAATTCCGTTTCATAAAAACTCTTGTAAAGAGAAATAAAAATTAGCAGTAAATAACAATCAATAAAAAATACAAGATTAAGCAATTGATAAAAAATACAAGATTATGATAACAAATAAAACCTGACTTCATCTGAAAACATGTCAAATAAATAAACACACACACAAAAGCAAAGATCATCAGCAACGACATGAACAGCAAGCAAACAAAGACAAGGACATTTCACTATATACAACAAGTTCGACCTTGGGAGGACCGGAGGTTAGAGGATTATTTTGATACGTACTTCCTGTTGAGAGAATATGCTTTTTGAGCAATAATTTTGCCCCAAAATTGCGATCATCAACAAAAACATGTCAAGCTAGGCCCTGTTGCTGCGTGACACGTTGTGTGACCACATTCAACTTTTAAGACTTCGATAGGAAAGCAGAGTTCTTCCTTAAAAATACATGTGAATGGTTTTGTGAAGGTTCGGCACACAATGCTATCAAAAAATGTTTTTGTTGGATGGCATTTTTTTTTTTTAGAAATAGGTCACCACACGTGCCCACCAAGCCCAATTTGCTATACGGGTAGCTCCAAGTCTGGGATAGGGTATCATTTTTTGCCCATTTGTCTAGATTAGGGTAGTAGTTTTGTCTGGGATAGGGTAGTTTTTGCCTAGGATAGGATATAGTCTCATTGTCTGGGGTAGGGTGGAGTTTTGCCTGTGATCGTATCTGCTAGGCCACGCTTTCAGCGGTACCTTCGTAACTTTAGTCTGCATGGCTAGGGTATGTAAAACACAAAAATTGGTCTGGGAAATGGTAAGGGTTTTAAGGGTTATGCGCCCCCCCCCCCCCATTTTTGACCATTTGTCTGGAATAGGGCAATCTTTTTGTCTGGGATAGGGTAGTTTTTTGTCAAAGCCAATCTTTATAGTGCCCATTGTCCCTAGCCCCACTGCACTCCCGTGACGAACCAACAGATTCGACCAAGAAAATTCCGGATATGCGTCATGTTATTGAAAGACATGTTGTAATATAAAGCTGCCCTGGCAATTAAAATCCAAACAGGAAGAAGTCCTTCGTCAATGAAGATGGAGAGAAGTTTGTTTCTTCTGTTGGTCGTCGGTTCATTTGTGCCGCTACACGCAGGTATATAACTTACGCGCTTATTATTCAGTGTCCAATGAATGACCTCGGAAAATGTTCTACAAGCAGTGCCAYTGCATGTTTAATTTCGTTACGAAATGTGCAACTAATATGCTTAGTACAGCGTGCTATAACTGGTTTAATTCTTAACTGGAATAGCTTTTGGCAAAAATGCAATACAGCAAGAACACGGCCGTGTGTTAGAACCTGAATTTCTCAATTTCGCGTAAATAAATCGAATTGAAGATGATTTTTAAGTTCGTTTAGTCCCTGATGCAGCTATCTGAGGACAGAAAATGTTCAAAACTCAAGTGGAATCACAATCGAGTAGCTTATGTTAATCGTAATGAGGTGAATTAAACTTCCAAGGTCACTAAAATAGATTCTTTATATGGAGAAAGCATGTCAACCTAACAAGTCATATGAAAAAACTTGGATTTGCATAGCTCTTTACATTCTCGCTGAATTTTTCGTGGGGCAAAAATGTGCAGAAAGTTTCCATAAAAAGTTTCATCACATTTTAGAAAATTTATGGTCGCATCAACTCAACTCTATCCGACGTGGTATAAAATATATTTCTGCTCTCTAGGTATACTGTTTCAAATAATTCCTTTAATCACATATCATAATGCATGACATAAGCCCGCTGAAACAGCGGGACCATACAGACGCGTGGACAATAAAGGGACTAATACGGGAAGGGATAACCTTTAATCCTTATTCTAACTTGATGACAACATATCTAACCGTAGCGACCCTAACTAAGAGTATTTTTTTAACATACTTATGCTCTCTTGGTAAAGAYCTATTGTGTTGCAAATTCACCTATAATTCTGATTGTAATTCTGTTTTTTAACATCTTATTAGGTGTATCGTTAGTGTTTGTATCTATGTATCAATTTGATATTTTGAGGATTAAAGTTATTATTGTAAACCAAGGTCATGATAGGCATGTTGGGGATTCCCAACAGGACCAGGCTGCACTAAAGGATATATGCTTAAAATTAAAAAAAACTGATTATCACGGTCTATCAGCAGCATCCTCACTTCGGATTTCTGAATATTTTACAATATGTTTAATCCAACCTCTTTTTAATCGACGGTCTGTTAAGTTTTAAAGAGTTTTCTACAGCAATATGTCACAAGAAAAAAAAAGAATTTCAGTGAGTTTCAGACCTGTTTCCTACTTAGGAGCTCTTGGTAAAAAGAAAAAAAAAAACAAAAAAAAAACACAACAACACAAAAGAGACGGAAGAGGTCAAGGCACAAAAGGATGCAGAATTGATTTTTTTTCTGGTTCCAACGGCTTACTTGTCCGTCACTGCTTGACTATACTAGTGAGAATAACATACTAAGAAAAATATCACAGGTTTGTATATAAGGATGCTGTAGTTAGATTCAATGCAGCCTGTTTTAAAAAGGAGCTCATAGTGAGACGGTGGGCGAAGAACGAAATCTAAAGTTCGGTTTAAAATTTCCTAATGCTATAAAGCTGAAAAATGAAATATGAATAATATTATTTCAGAGAAAACTTGCAACAGTAATCAATTCACTTGTGGAAATGGTAAATGCATAAGTAGGGGATGGAAATGTGATGGTCAAGATGACTGTGGAGATGGAACAGATGAATCAAATTGCAGTAAGTATTGCTAATGTGTGCTAATGCTATAAAGCTGAGAAATGAAATATGAATAATATCATTCCAGCAAAAATAACTTGCAACAGTAATCAGTTCGCTTGTGGGAATGGTAAATGCATACCTGGAACATGGAAATGTGATGGTGATGATGACTGTGGAGATGGAACAGATGAATCAAACTGCAGTGAGTATTGCAGGTGTGCTAATGCTATAAAGCTGAGAAATGAAATATGAATAATATTATTCCAGGAAAAACTTGCCACAGTAATCAGTTCGCTTGTGGAAATGGTAAATGCATACTCAGAAGATGGAAATGTGATGGTGATGATGACTGTGGAGATGGAACAGATGAATCAAACTGCAGTGAGTATTGCAGGTGTGCTAATGCTATAAAGCTGAGAAATGAAATATGAATAATATTATTCCAGGAAAAACTTGCCACAGTAATCAGTTC